CCAAGACAGAGCCGACACCACACACTTACAGTCGCCCGACTATACATCTACAAGAACGACCACACCACCACACACGTCACAAGCTATCAAAGCAACCACTCCTAGCATGGCAGCAACGTACTTCCTCAGCAGCATCACACTCTCACACCACCAAACATACCCATCACCACACCCAACGATCCAGATCTCACACACGACAACCACGAAAAAAGCCACAAGCCACAGCCACACGGAGCCACCGTGAACGCATTCCCTCACCTCACACTAACAGGCACACCAGCCCTCAATCTCAGCGCACACATTCTCCACACCAGCACCATCACTCCTCCAAGCACACCAAACATCAAAAACAACCAAAACAATCGCAACGCTCCACTAACCGTTCCAGACGCTCTCGCACACGACGCTCTCGCACATCCATCTCACGCCACACCTGTCGAGAGCGATTGACACGATCGACACAACACCGCTCCTCTCGAAGGACAAGACATCAACCATCACCAACACCAACTAGGACACCATCACCCAGCCACCAGACAGAACACCACACTTCCAGACACTCTTCACGAGCCTCCCCAACGACACGGCCAGACTCACCACCTACAGCACCACCACCGCTCACACCAACAGAGGACACTAGCGACAGCGTCTTCGCTCTGCAGCATTCGCCCTCAGACAAAACCGCTCCAAACATCTCAGCAACACCACATGTCACCACAATCTCTCACCCTCTTCCACCACCAACATCACCACTTCCACTACCACCACCACCTACACAACCACCACCACCGCCACCAAAAACACCACCGATACCAGCACCACTGCGAACCTTATCCAAGACATCACCATCCACCAAACCATCACCACCACCACCACCACCGACATGCCCCACACGACCTAAGCAGCCATCATACCCACCTCCACAGCATCTCCTTCCTCGCCAAGTTGATCAAGATCCCGCGCCATGAGAGCCACCTGAGGCCGAAAGATTCAGCTACAAAACAACTCATCAACACAACAACATATCTATTAATTTATTCAATCTTATTACTATTACTGATACCGTATTCTACTTCTCACATCCTCACTGCAAACTGGACGCAGCACAAAACACCAACAAAACACTACCACTGCCACTATTCCCATCAAGGCACACCGCACCACACAGCTCGACTCCGAGCAATAGCACTCGGAAGTTTCACCCGGCGAGTTTCACCCTACACCTTGGACCAGAATTCAAAAATTGCAGAGTCAATACCTCTTTGTCTTCTTTGTCATCTTCCACTGTTTCACCACGGCCGTTCACTCGATTTATTGATGCAGTATTTTCGGATTTTGGATTTTTGGGTTTCTTGATTTCACACAAGACCACCGGCTTTCAACTCTTTCAACGTTGCATTCACCTGAACTGTTTATTTTTGTCGCCTTCTCTCTCAGCTTTTTGATCCCAACTGTTCGTATTGCCTCCACATTTTCGTACTGCCACGATGGAAGCGGCATTTTGGAGCTGGACCCAGGGCACACCAGCGGCACACATCTACGGAGTGTACACCTCACAACACAGCTGTCGCACCACCATCTATCATACCAGAGAGCAGCTTCATTCATTACAGCAGACAATGTACTTCGACGAGACTATTTACCCCCATCTCCCTCCACCATTGTTGGACCGCATATTGAGGATCAGGGCACTGGTCAACCACGCTGCAGACGACCTCACAGCTGCTTTAGACCACATTGAGGCAATCGGCCATTTCTCGCCCAGCCAATTGAAAGGCAAGGGCAAGGGCAAGTCCACAGACACATCCGACCTCACAGATGACCCAACCACAAGCACTCTCCAAAGTGAGCTTATTCACCCATATACACACCCACAAGCTATGCCACAACCTTGCACCACGTCACCTCCTGTCAATACCAACACCACAACACATGAACACTCACAGCCAATCACCCCTCAGACAGCAACGACACCTGACTTCCCACACACCAAAGCCACAGCGCCACCACCCCGGCCAACCTACACCTGTATGCGCTCAGCCAACAGCTGCATTTCAACCCCACGACCAGTCAATCTCTTTCCAACCAACCCGCCACCTCACACAACCTCACAACAATGTGACCCCACTCAAGTCTACAACATTCGCATTCCACTACAGGGACATGCCACACTGACAGCCATCGGACCGATCTCAGCACCACCCTCTTCAGCATCAAACAGTACACCCACCATCTACTACATGCCTACTCCGCCAAACATCCGGCCGAACCATCCGGAAGCGGGCACGGGCCCTCCTGGACCCTGGTGGGATGATGCTGGAGCTCCACCGTGAGAGGGCATTAGACCGGGTTTATGGTTTTTGACTCAATGTATATAGCTCGCCGATATTGCCAGCTACTGCAAAACATCCCCAGTACTGTGATTTCCAAGTTTTGGTTCTTCCACTGTCTTTACTTCCTCGTTGTATTGACTATACTTTTTCAGTACTTTCAGGATTGGCCTTCAACTGACGACTTCACTAGAACACTCTAGCCATTGTGGTTCACAACAGTTTCGACTACTCCTCGCCTTCAACGTTCCTTTTTGCGGGACTCTCTTGATCCCCGACATGGATGCGCATCAACAATGGTGGCAACACTATTACGGTACTGCAACACCCAATGCCGGCTATGGACCCCTAACGAATGCAGTACGTCATCACTACCACCAACCTTATCACCAACCTCACTCAACCAACACGACCGACCATTCCACAGTTTCCCCAGCCCCAGCCGCGGCGTTCCCTCCGGAACCCCTTCCCCCACCCCCGGCACCCCACCATCCAACAATATCCCCACCTTACCAGACACATGGACCCCCAGCGACACACACCTTGACACCAATACAGTACATGGTCAAACATTATTCCGCACGATCCAGCCGACGCAATGGTCCAGAAAATACAATCTGGCAGGACAGCCTGTCTTGGACATCTTTCCTTGGCAGCTCAGTCGCTTTGGCCTACAAGACCACAGCCTTCGTACTTTATCCCAAGGACGGTACACTGGCATCGTGACCACCAGGTCTATCGCAGAAGCAGTGTTCACCTCGCAATTGTTGCCAGAGATGCGAGCCCACAACCTGGACATTGACAACATTGCTGAATATTTACACCAACAAGCTAATCAATCCATTCCAAACAAAACGACAGATGCCAAACAATTTATGCAACCACTCATTTCCCGCATGATTGACTTCCTACGAGGCCTCACACCACCCGCAGGCGAAGGTACAGCACTCCGAAAACTTCAGCTACAGACAGATCGCCTACACCAGCAAGAGAGCGAACTCCAGCAAGCTCGCGACAGATTGAAGGCGCATGGCATTGCACTTACACCAACAAAACCAGAGACACACCCCGCCACATCATCAGCTTCCCAACCCCATCTCCCACTTACAGCCCCAGCCGCACTCACAGCTAACACCATTCTCAACCCCACCACTCAAACACTACAAGACAACTCACCAGCCAACTACGCGGCAGCAGGCATTCAGAAATGGCTCAAGACACTACCACCAGCCACTCAGACACAAGTCACCAATATCCAGCAAATTCTTCGAGACGAACGCATCACCAAAGAACAGCTCCAGGAGGCAGCCACACGCTATGGCATCCCGCTCACCCGTGTGCTTAAGCTACCACCACGTTCACTACAGCAGCTGGTGGCAGCGGGTTCGGCATCAGCAGCCTGACTCGCTCAACAAGCGCTGCATCAACCAACACATCTCACTTTACAATTCTTGACTACACTTCACACAGCACTTTCACACTTTGTCCACTTCACACCCTACATTGACAAGACCCACGCGATCTTTTCCATCAGTCTTGACGTACAATCCACCGGCGCTCCCATTCAACACTCCCACATCGGTCGACACTACATCCACCACCCACAACAACGCACACTCGACACTCAACACATCCCCCTGATAATACAACAAGCCCTTCAATCATGCATTTCTCAAGCCTGCAACACCTACTACAAGCAAATCCAAGGAGCAGGCATTGGCAGTCAACTTTCACCAGCACTCTGCAACGTAGCAATCACACACATCGTACATACCTGGCAAACCACATACCACACCTTTTTACACCAACCCAGCCTTCACTTGCTCAACACACGCTCCGTTGACAACCGCTATATCTTGCTAAACGAACAATACAGATCAGCGCTCCCCATCACTACACTGGCCCATCCCGATTTTTATGAACACCCAGTCGAAATAGAGCCAGGGGACGACGACCATTTACTCGGTTTCCTGATTGATCCACTCACCAGAACGGTCACCTTTCAACTCCCCACACATCCCTGGCACACTACGAAAATACACATTTCCACAGCAGCTCGCACCTACCACAGCACAGCAGTTGATGCAGCTCTATATGCCAAAAGGTCATTCAAAGGAACACTGTGCCGCGGCGCTGCGGCCACGAGGAAAAAGACGATGCGCCAGCAGAGTCATAGTACTTTACTTTACAATTCCTTTTTCGACGTCTTGGTCTTCCATTATTTACCCTTCAGGTATTTTCTGATCCGATCTAGTTGCGCCGATTCGGCTCTTTGTGTGTGTCCACTCCTGTTTCCAAGGACACTACACTAGCTCTTACTAACTTTTCCTAGGACTTTCGTGACCATTGTACAGCAGCAGGGGGCACGGCGGCCGTTCACCTAGCCGTGCTAACAAAGCTATGGTGTTCGGTTGGATGAGATACTGGACGCAGTATCTTGTACCTGCAATTTTTAATTCTCACTCATTGATGCTTCTAAGTCAGTTCAACGCTGTCTCATACGTTGATTTTGCAATATGTAATACAGTGCTAATGCTCTCGGCTAATGCAGTACCTAAATGTAAAGTGCTAATGATCACCGCGAAGCAGCCTGAAATGGCGCTCCACGGAGACCTTCTCAAGTGTGTGTGGGGAGGTCGGGTGGAACAACGCAACGACCGTGGCCTCTTCGAAGGTACTTCAACGGGCCTACATCCTCTTGGGCTCGTGGAGTGCCAAGCAGTGCCCGATGGTCTCTGAAGCGCAATTCAGCCGATCGGGCACCGTCTGAGCGCTGAGGCTAGCGCATTCATACGTGCACCGTCGGGGCCGCAGGCAGATGCATTGGGCTCCTGACCGAATCATAGGTTAAGTGGCAGTGCCTTCAGTGAGTTGCTCAGGTCAGGAAGTCCCTTGGCATTGCTTGGAAGTGGCAGGCCCCTGGGACAAACCTGTTGGGACAAGAAGATCATCAAGCCAATGAGCTCATTCAAGTGGGACATGAGAATTCGGTAACTTTGCAGAAGGCTTGAAGCAATTTGCACTTTTGGGGACCTCATGAGCGAGTCTTCATTCAAGTCACAAAATCCCCCCACCCGAAACATTGAAGTGGACAAATAAGATCAAATAAGATAGCCGTGCCTACACTCAAAATTCCAACCCCTCCCTGCAACATAGAACGGCTATAGATAAGGCCCAAGGCTGTATTTTGTAGATGATCAGGTCGTCTTCCCGATCTTCCAGGGGCAAAATCCGAGTTTGCTGAGGCACCAACCCAGGGACGAGTCCCACCAGGCGAGTGAGTGGTTCGTGCGAGGACAGTCGCAGTCGAAATCAGTGTAGATCACTTTAAGAGGAGAGGGATGGTGCTGAGAAAGTGCACCAAACCATGTAGCGATAGGACCGCCCCCCCAAAAAGGAACAACCTATAACATCCTGTAACCACATACGAAAGTCCATTCAACTTGGCGTAACCAACCAAATACTCTTGTGCACATATTGCATGCTGATGAGGGATCCCTCAACCTCCGCTGCCCCATGTTTCCTGTGGTGGTCGTATAATTTTTCGTTCGGAAGCGATCCTTAGCGATAACCATTTGTTACATGAAGACTCCGGGCCGAGGGATAGATACACGAACCTGGAGATAGACGGCACCTGAAGCAAAGAAGTCCTTCATCCATTTGCGAATCCAGAGTCCTGTTGAGTCTCAAGCATGTTGGTTTCCACCAAACCATGTAAAGCGATAGGCCCCCCCAACCAAATCACCAACTGCATTGTTCCAAACCATTGATTTGGACGGTGCCTCATTTGTTCGGGTTTGCTGCAGACTGACCAAGCGAACAAGACTGACCGTTTGGCCCCCCAAAACCGGTGGAGAAGTGAACGCCGCCTACAGCCCCACGTTGTCCAGGGTCCATCCAAAGAGCTTGCCCAGATCCTTAGCTGAGCCATGGCTCGAGGCCAGTTCGCGCAGAATCTGCGAAATCCGTCAAAGCAGCTGGGCAGGTCTGCGAACAGCTGAGCATGCCACCGGTCTTGACCTCTGCAGCCCGGTGGCTCGGGGTCCGGGTAACCGGTCGAGAGGTCGACCTCGCGCCCGCGTCCCAACGAGGCGACCGACCTGTGGAACTGGCGGAAGCGACGGGACGAAGGAGCCTTCGAGCCAGGCGACGGTGTCCGGTGAGCGGACTCCGTCGGGGTCCGGTGAGCGTGTCGCGACCGGGTGGTCGGAGTGAGTCAGAGAAGGTAATTTGGAGCAGCGGATCTCCTTGACGGGAAGCAATTCTGAACGGCGGGGGGTCTCAACATGTCTCAACTCATTTGCCGCTGTGATGATGCTGGCTGGTTCTTGCAGCACTTTGAGGGTGTTGAGAATACCTGACAGAAATTCCTGAATTCATTTGCCATTTGTCAGGCTTGCTGAGTTGGGCTGGTTTAAACATGTTTAAACTATTTGAAACTACTATTATGAATCATGAAAAAGACTTTAATAATCTCGTTTCCCTATGAATGGACGCCTTCCTCTCCGTATTCTAGGAAACGCTATGAAACATGTTCGAGTGCATGCAGGCAAAATCACTTCTCTCAGGATGTTCCACATGGTGCCATGCGCCATGCAAGCAGCAGCATCAGAGGTCACATGGCTGCATGAGTTGGTCGAACTCATGACGTGACTGAGAAGGACGGAACCGGACCTCTGGTGGTGCCCAACAGGTGGTGCCCAAGATTTTCCTGTCGGATGTCTGAAGCTGAGCCTGGCGATTCGGTGCGTTCATGCGATTCGGTGGGACGGAGGGAGAACTCGGCACGGAGCGCCGAGGTCTTAGTCCGTGGAGGCAGACAGGAGACCTGGTACTCGTAGCTTCTTGTTACTAGTAAGGCCAGGAGCCCCTAGTAGCGTCCTTGCTCCTAGTAGTATGCCCCTAGTAGCTTCTTGTTACTAGTAGGTAAGGGATGGAAAGGAGGTAGGAATTGATGCTCATCTGGCGCGCGGAAGAAGCTCGATTAGCACCTGCTTGACGAGCCCGTTGTGGTGGACATGGTGAAATCTGCGACATTCAGCCGATTCGCTTGCTCAAGGAGCAACTGGCCTTGCTGCTGTTAGAGGCACAGCTATATAGCTCATATACCAGTCCCACGAAGTCTGATTGAATTTATCAATTGCGATCATGTGCAGAGAAAAATTTCCATGCCTTTTGCATGCCCTTCCCTGCCTTTGCGCTTTTCCAATGCTCATTTTTCCTGTCCCTGTATGCATTTGGAGGTCAACCGATGACAAATGTGTCACCTTGCCAGGTGGCGGATGTCCTCCGGAGCTTTAAACGCCTCTTCGCTCAGCTCCCCAAAGGTCAGCGGTTCGGCCTCTGCCCGCGCGTGCGTCTTGGAACCTGTGGCCAGGAGTCGACCCGGATGTGTTCTACAACGTCTATCGGCCATTGTCACTTGACGTTCATCCGCTTTTGGGCTTGAAATTGTTAATCAGATAGGTTGATCATTCTTAGCTATTTGGTTGGAGGCCATCGCAAGTAGGTTATCACTGGCAGGCTCAATGGCTTTCATCCAAATGGTGTCACAATGCAAGTGGCCTGAGCCCAAGCACTGCATATGGACACCTTATGGAAGACGCACATGGACGCCTTGCGGAAGAGAAGAGGGATGAGACTCATGTTTCTTGGAGTGCTCCCAGCCCTACATTCCACCGTCCCACCGTCTCAAGCCGCCGGGCTCATGCCATCTCCTCAACGAGCTTTTTGCAGGGCTCAAGCCATCTCGCCACATAGACAAAGAACATCAAAGAACTTCAGTAACAGTATATAACTAACTGAATTCATGAAGTCATGAAGGGAGGGTGAGCCAATCAATCGATTTTTGGTATTCTTTGTGGCCAAGCTCTGACTGCGCGCAATGGCCAGTGCAATGATCCAGGCTATCCAAGAGTCTTGGCAGAAGCGGACTGACACACACCACTTCCGCAGGCGTAGAGCCGTGCCAAGCTACGCGGTGCAGCTAAGGTCAAAGACTATGGAGTACTGGGCAGCAGCACCTCTGGACCCAAGGAGTCCAAGCCAGACCAGGCGCCACTTCTTGTGCAGCGAGTGAGGGTGCAGCGAGGGAATGCAAAAGGCCCTGGCCACTGCAGTTCTGTCAATCTGGAATGCTAAGCCTCAAAGGGCTTTTCTGCGACCTCCACAACGCTTGATTTTGAACTGATCTCTTTTGCATACCTCTTACCAAAACCCTTCCAGAATCAGACACCCTAGGATGTCAAAACCAGTGCCGATTTGTACAGGCGGTTTTTTTTGCTATCTAAGTATGGGAAATACACATGCCAAGTAGCAGTCGTTTTGCAGATTGATATAGGACACCGCCTTCGTAGACCCAGCTGGGTGCTGGCCTCAGTGAAGGCTGTTGAACTCTTGGCTGCTAATGTGAGATGAGATGCCCATGAATCAATGGCCGTACCTTGACCAGGAGCAATCAGTGCTCAAAGCATCTCAGGGCAAATGACAATAGGGCCAGGGTCGAACTGTAAAGCGTAGAAGAGAATGGCGAGCGCAGAGGGACGCTACTATGAAGCCGAATTCCCAGAGATGGAAGAGATCGTGGTCGTGCAGGTGAAGCGTATCGTGGACATGGGCGCCTACGTATCCCTTTTGGAGTATGACAACCAAGAAGGCATGCTTTTGCTGAGTGAGTTGTCGAAGAGGCGAATCCGTTCGGTTGCCAAATTGCT